AGAATAACTAATTCATAGTCATTTTACTGAATGGATCATTCTGAGACACAACGGGATATCTGTATGTAGTGGTCATTGACGTATGGCATTCACTTTTATATTATTTTTTTTGTTTTTTTTCTTCTTCTCTTACTTATTTTCAATAATGAACTTCTAATCATGTTTGATTATTTAAAATAACTATTCGTCTTTAATATTAAATTTATAGAACTTAAACTTCCTACGTTGATTAAATTAGTTAGCGACAAATTGATCAGTATAGTTTCATGCGTAATATTAAAAAAAAATATATGTTTGTTTTTGCGTTTGTTCAGTTCAATCTAGCATGTCAACAGAGATAAATGATTTTCAATCGGTATTTGTCTTTTGTTTCGAAGTAAAACATGATTTATTTATTTATAATATTTGTCTTAATCCTATTTGACATTTGTTTTGAACTTCTACACATCCTTCATAAACCATATATAGAAAAAAAATAATTTAATAAATATGTTGATCTTTTCCTTTTCCTCTTCTTCTTCTTCTTCTTTAAATCATATATCATTGTCTTGTTGATTGATGAAAAGTGAAGAAATGTTCATACTCTGTTAGAAAACTATCATATACAGTGAAAAATCGAAGATATTCAATTAAATTTATAGATAGCAGATGTTTTTTGAACTAAAAGAAAATGATTTCAAAATTGTATTTTATATTTGGCAAAAACATGAAAAGATCTTCATATTATGACTATTATATTTTAAAATGCTACTTGTCATACTCAAACACATATCATTTGAGTGCTAGTATATTAATGAATAAGAAATCGTTTACAATTGTAAATAAATATAATTTATTTCAAGTGACATTCTTTTTGTAGTGAATCTTATTACATACACACACAAGTACCAAATATAGTCAAAAAAAAATAAAAAAGAAGTGAAGTGTTTTTTTGTTGCTATTACTTGTATACGATAGAAATTTGTATGAAAGTAATATTTTAATCAACTAAACAATGATACTGTACTCGTCACGCATTTTTTAACAATAGAAAAGGGTTATATGGTCTGCTCAAACGTACCAGCCAAAAAACATAAGTCCGTAACGTTTTGCGAAATTCATAGCTCTTCAGCCGAGCAACGTACAAAGTTGAGGAACGTCTTATTTTGAAACTTAAAGATTTTTCTTCCAAATGGTAATTAAACAAAATCTAGGTCTAATCTAAACACTTACCCATAATTCGCATCGATAAAGCTCTTTTGTACGAAAGTGGCGTATACCTAAAACATTATACCACGTAAACTAGTCAGCTGCTAGACTTTGTTTAGTTACCATTTGAAAGAAAAATCTGTATGCTACAATATAAGACGTTCCTCAACTCTGTACATTGCTTGGCTGAAGAGCGATAAACTTCACTAAACATTACGGACTTACGTAAAAGTTGACTTGTACGTGGACAAGTCCTATAGTCTCGTTTTATCAAACAAATTAAAATAGAGTATATGAGATTCATTTGTAGAGAAAAAGTACCTCGATCATAAAACTTGTTAGGCTAATCTATTTTACACCTGATCGTATCTTGAGCAAAGAAGCATCAACTCTTGATTATTTATCTGACAATACTTTCATTTCTTTTTAAATAAATTCAGTCGCATCGAACATTGTTCCGAGAGGGAGAGAGAGACAGAGTACTCTAATAAACATTTTTCTTTGTTACTAACAACCCCATGTAAATTCACTGCGTTTGAAAAGACGCGGTTTGACGCATTTTCTATGGAAAAGACATGTGTCAACGCATTTTTTTTTCAAGAAAAATTTATCAAACGCGTCGCGGAGCGATGGGGCTGTGAATTTTTAATATAAAAAAAAATGCGTATTAATGCGGTTTACCACGAGAAATTTCTGAAACGCGCCACGAAACACATCTTATCCTTAAGAATGTGAGAAAAAGTTTTATTAAACAAAATATTAAACTGTTTTTATTATTAAAATATCTTTCACTCATTCGATCATTCATCTTAGTAAATTAAACACTGTATTCTCTTTAGAATTTTTAATGGATTTAGAAATCTTATAAATAGAACTATACAACAACTATTCGCTAAAAACTAGATTTGATTTTCATTTTTCATTCTTGCATAAGCATATTTTGAATGGACTTTTTTCTTTTTTTTAAAAAAAAGAATGAGGCTAGTAGTTAGTAAAGTAATTAAACCGGCAAAGAAAAGAAAAACAAAACAAAACATAAGAAATAAATGATGGCAATGAAAAATAAAAATAAAATAATATTCTCTCATTTCTGTACATAAAAATTGATCTTGTTTTTTAAAAACAAACAAAAAAGAAATAAAAAACAAGATTGAAAAAGAAGAAGAAGGCACTGTAATGTGAATATACAGATCTTGTTACAGTTATTATGTAACAAATCCCCACGATTAATGTTCATGTTTTTTATATAGCAACACATCACAGATAAAATGTTTTTTAATCTTTGATATATTGATAATTATCTATTTAAATAGAATAGAATAATAACAAATGAAATAATAATTAAATAATAACAATGACGACTAGTTATTTTTGTTGTTAATGATCCTCCATTTGATTCTTTTAAATAAAATTCATTATTACATTGTTCACCTATACAACGTTTTACTGTCATAATATTTAATGAACGATGATGTCGAATATTTGGTATTTTTATTTCTAATATTTTTTCTGATTCTATTTCAATATCACTATAATTTGAACAATCACGTATTGCACGTGTAGTATGTAAACGTTTTCTACGATATATTGTATAATTACGTATAATAGCAAAATAACAAAATGTTTGACATTCTTGTAATGGGATAATTTTTGAAAATTCACCACAACTTGGACCATCTATTTGATTATCGCATTGTAAACATTGAAAACTTTGTCTATAACATTTTCCCAATTGTATTAATATCATATTAAAACATATATAAAATAAATTTAATTCCATTCCATTCACAATAACAGTGACAATGAATTCACTTGTAAATAAGACCTGATGAAAAATATAAAGATAATAAAAAAGCAACAACAGAAAAAACAAAACATTAAATTAATATTGAAATTTAATAGTTAATTCAATATTATATGATAAAATGTTTAATTAAAACTCTAAAAAATGAAATTTACTTACTTCTTTCTATTAGTCTACGTCGTTTTTCTTATTATTCACAATGATAAAGTAAAACATTTTTTTGTTAAATTTAGAAATAAGAATAAATAAATTCTAAAAAATAAAAAAACAGAGATGGGATGAAGAAAAAGAGGAAGAAAAAAAATGAATTTTTATTTTTCTAAAATTGACCACGACGACCATTACAAATTGATTGATGGTTAAAATTAAACACGCACACGCATTCTGTTTATTTTCTTCTCATTATTCAAACATGATTGATCAAAGTCAAATAGATCAAAAAAAAAAAAAAAAGTTGTAATATGTTATCATAACTCTACACAATATTATCCATCTACATATCTGAGATGTAATATTTTCTTCTGTTTTCCTTTTTTCTTCTTCTTCTTAGAAACAAGAAAGAACGTATCTAAGGGGCAGTATAATAAGAGAAAATAGTCTTCAGATCGAACCATCTTCATCACGTATTTGTACAAATTATTGTTATAATAAGTTTTATTTTTATTTAAAAAAAAAAAAAGAAGAAAAAAGAAAACTAAACAAGAGAGAAAATGAGATAAGTCGTGCTCCAAATGAATGATGAAGCGGAAAAACATAAAAATAATAATAGCATTTGTTCGTTTGTTTAAATTACAACTCAACTCTATTCAAATAGAAATAATGATGAACAAGAAATAAAATAAAATAAAAAAAAAAAAAAACACAGAGAAGAAATTGATGATCATCATTACATTGAATATGTGATTGAAAGACGAGACATAAAATGAATGTTATCTATTTTGAAGTACTTAGTATTCAAGACATTCACTTAAATGAGTTTGACCATTAGAAGAAGAGATGAAGAAGAAAAAAAACAAAAAAAATAATATAAAAGTGAATGCCATACGTCAATGACCACTACATACAGATATCCCGTTGTGTCTCAGAATGATCCATTCAGTAAAATGACTATGAATTAGTTATTCT